TTGGGAATCAGGGCGACAGTACTGATTGTGCCTCTCCTGCTACAGGTAGTGCGAATCAAAAAGAGGTTGCATCAGAAAATTGGAAGACTGTAAAGTCGCCTGCGAAGTCGAGTAGGAGTAAGAAGAATACAGTGGAAGAGGGAGAAGTGATTGTTTCTGCATCTCGGTTCGAGTCCCTCTCGAACGATGATGAAGAGGATAATGAGGATCATAACGAGGAGATTAGAACAGGAGAAATACTTTAGACCGATGTAAATGCCGAAGAGGTGAAGAGCGACGAGCTCGCTGATCATTCGGAGGAGGATGTTCCCGAAACTCAGGAAGTAAGTATTGGGGAGCTGGAGAAGGTAAAACCTACGGCTGGTGCAGGAGGGAGAATATCTTTGTTGCGAGGATCCAAGTCAGATCATCGTTTTGTTCAGCCATCTTCCAACTCATCTCCATCGTAGGAGGAAGAGGAACAAAAAACAGTCCAAAAAACCTAACCATTAATGTCTGGATTTTTTTGGAATATAAGAGGTTTTAACAAAAAAAAGAAACAAAAAGTGGTTAAGAGTTGGTGTAGAGATAATGAGTTTCTATTTGGATGTCTGATTGAAACTCGTGTAAAGGAGGAGAGGGTGAATAAGATTGTGACTGAGGTGTTTTCGGGATGGTCTTTCTTGAATAATTATGGGCATCATCGCTTGGGAAGAATTTGGGTGGTATGGTGTGAGGCTGTTTGTGTGACTCCGGTGTTCAGTAGCAGTCAAATGATCTCTGTGTTAGTGAAGCTGCAAGACAAGGAGGAGGAGTTCTTGTGTTCTTTTGTTTATGGTTAATTTCGTTGATGATAGGAGGGAGCTCTGGGGAGATTTGCGAAGTCATTTCTCATCTCCAATCTATAGGAGAGTGCGCTGGTTAGTTATGGGGGATTTCAATGAAATTATTTCTGTTGATGAGCATTCTGGAGATGGTGCAGGCTCTGTGTCGGCGGCTGGAATGTGGGATTTCTAGGACCTGGTTCGCGAAGCAGATTTGAGTGACATGGGGTTTCATGGTCCCTTTTTTACATGGTGTAATAAGAGGGAAGATGGTCTTATTTGCAAGAAACTGGACAGGCTCCTAATTAACGATCACTGGCTCGATAACAACTCCCAGTCTTATTGCGTATTTGAGGCGGGAGGATGTTCTGATCATTTATGATGTCGATTCTATGTTGATGGAGAGAATTTGAGGAAGAGAATGCCGTTTAAGTTTACCAATGCGATAGCAAAGATGCCAGAATTCAAATTAGCTTTAAAGGATTACTGGGATCAGACTTCTCCTCTTTTCCACTCAACCTCTGCATTATTCAGGTTCTCAAAGAATCTAAAATTTTTGAAGCCACTACATCCAGAGATGCGCTACAGGGTATCTCTTTGAAGGTGAAATCGAATTTTGAGTTGTTATGTTCCAAGCAAGAGCAACACTTGCTTAACCCTACAGCTGATTCGAAAAAGGAGGAGAGTGATGCATTCAAAAAGTGGGAACACTCAGCGAACCTTGAGGAGAGTTATTTAGCACAAAAATCAAAGTTGAATTGGTTGAATGTAGGCGATAAGAATACCAAGGTCTATCATCGTGCATTGAAGGTAAGAGAGATACGAAATGGTATCCGCGAACTGCAACTTGGGGATGGGACGTTGATTTCAGGGACTACTGAGATCAAAGCAGAGGCTGTAAATCACTTCGATACCTTCTTAAACTATCAACCGCCGCAGTTTCATCATGTTTCGACAGAGGAGATCAGGGGATTGATCGGATATCGCTGCTCGCTTGGGGATCAGCAGAGTCTTGTTGCAGAGGTTACCAAGACCGAGATCAAATCTGTGTTATTCTCTATGGCCACAAACAAATCTCCAGGGCCAGATGGATACACGGTTGAATTTTTTAAGGAGAGTTGGCCGAAGGATTTGGTGGTTGGGATTCAATCTTTCTTCTTGAAAGGATTTCTTCCGAAGGGGGTCAACTCCACTATTCTAGCTTTGATAACGAAAAAAGAGCAAGCTAAGCTTATGAAGGATTATAGGCCCATTGCGTGTTGTAATGTCATCTACAAGATCATTTCGAAGATTTTAGCAAATCGTTTGAAGAAGATCTTGCCGAATTTTATCGCTCCAAACCAATCTGCGTTTGTCCAAGATAGGCTTATGATCGAGAACTTGCTTCTAGCATTGGAACTAGTCTCTGGATATCATCGCAGCTCGATCTCTCCTCGCTGTGCAATAAAGATTGATATCTCAAAGGCTGTTGATTCAGTCGAATGGAGCTTTCTATTGACTGTTTTAGAGGCTTTGGATCTTCCCCAGGAATTCGTACAATGGATTCGTCTATGTATTTCGACAGCTTCTTTTTCAGTCCAGGTTAATGGTGAATTGGCTGGTTACTTTGGGAGCTCAAGGGGTTTACGACAGGGCTGCTCCCTCTCCCCTTACTTATTTGTTGTATGTATGAATGTGCTTTCCCACACGCTTGATAAGGAGGCGACTGACAAGAAGTTTGGGTTTCATCCAAGATGTTCGAATATCAATCTTACTCACTTATGTTTTGCGGATGATCTCATGATCTTTTCTGATGGAAAGTTGAGATCGATGGAAGGCATTCTCCAAGTTTTCGAGGAGTTTTCGAAAATCTCAGGTCTTCAAATCAGTATTGAGAAGTCTACGGCTTATATTGCTGGTGTTTCTGAATCAGTTAAACAAGATATACGGCAAAGATTTTCTTTTGAGCTTGGTTCTTTGCCAGTACGATATTTGGGGCTGCCACTTTTAACCAAGCAGATGCGCTCGCTTGACTATAATCCTCTTATAGACAAGATTAGAAGCAGATTTAACACAAGGACGGCTTGAAGCTTGACCTTTGCTGGAAAGTTACAGCTTCTATCATCTGTTATCGCAAGTCTTGTTAATTTTTGGATGCCAGCTTTTCGTCTCCCAAAAGGTTGCATCGAAAAAATTAACAGCTTATGTTCTAGGTTTCTATGGTATAGGCCTGATCTAAATCCGCGAAGAGCAAAGGTTGCATGGGTCGATGTGTGTAAGGCGAAGGAGGAGGGAGGTTTGGGGCTATCGAATCTGACCATAGCGAATGATGTGAGTGTTCTGAAACTGTTGTGGCGGATGATGACAACGACACAATCACTATGAGTTCGTTGGACTAGAACGAACTTGATGGGGGGCAACTCCATCTGGCTAACTCCTAGTCCGACTAACCAATCTCCAGGCTCATGGATGTGGAAACAAATCCTGAGAAGCAGAGAGTTAGCTGAGCAATGGTCGAAACTCTCTTTTTTGGTATGACAAATGGTCTTCGATGGGAACTTTGTTGACTACATTTGGAGCTCGGGGGTGTGTAGACCTGGGCATCCCACATACTTCTACAATGGAAGAAGTAATTCACACACATAGACGAAGAAGACATCGCAATCGGATGAGATTGATTTGGTGAAGCAGAATTATCGAGAAACAGAGCCAGATGTATTTCTGTGGAAAGCAAAGGAAGATTAATTTAAACGTCGTTTCAGCACAAAGATTACAAAGTATCAGATCACTCAGCACTCTCCGAGAGTCTCTTGGTATAAGGGGTTTAAACATCATCATCCGAAGTTCAGCTTTATTTCCTGGTTAGCTTTACTCAATCGTCTTTCGACGGGGGATCGCATGCGAGCCTGGAACTCAAATATTTCAGTCAGTTGTGTGTTCTGCAATGATCCTCTTGAAACTCGGGATCATCTATTCTTCATGTGTTCGTACACAGCGAGAATATGGTCTAAACTCTCAAGAGGAATTCTGCACCGTGATTATTCTGCTGAGTGGGATGCGATAGTAAATACGATCTCCAGACATCATCGGAGCTTGGTGGATGGATTTATCATCAGGTACTTATTCAAGCATGCTGTCTATGCTATATGGCGAGAGAGGAATGCACGTAGACATGGCTCACCTCCTACAGAGTGGAACAGACTGGTGAAAGTGATAGACAAAGGAGTCCGTAACAGGCTCAGTTCGATTCATAATCTCGGCGACACTCAATACGAAGAGGGACTACAACGGTGGTTCGCCTCACTCTCCACGTAATGGGAGATATCATACGCAAGGACTCATGTTCTAGATAGTTTATTTAAAAGCTAAAATTTCTTTGATTATCAGCTCGCATCATTGATGTAGAAACGCTTTTTTTGGGTTTGAATAAAATTTAACATTTATTCAAAAAAAAAAAAAAAGGTAATCGAGAAGTTTTAGGTTAACTGTCTTTATATGTGTAAGTTTGGGGTATAGAACCCATGTCTGACCTAGTGTATTCGTAAACTCAGAGGAAGTTGCAGCGACGGTCAGATGGAGGACTTTGGTTGATGCAACATAATTATTTTTGACACAAAAATCAAGGATTGAATGGCTGATGGAATCCATGTGCCAAGTTTAATGGAACTACCAATGACGCATTTAAGAACGAAAGTATTTGTGATAATTTTAACAAGTTTCGTGAAGACATTTCTAGACCAAGAGTCCTTTGACTAGGATCTTAGCATAGCCGAGAAGCTGAATACCATGATTAAAGCTCGAGACGGAGAAGACCAGGCCATGAGTGAAGGAGACCAGACTAGCCATGAAGAGGAGCTCAACATGCTGTGCTGAGAACATCATTATACCAGACCGAACCAGCCAGCAATCAGGATCGTAAGTTTTTGGCCTTTTATCTGTTAAAATAAGGAAAATTGTCCTTATCTGTGTTCTCTTCGACCCTTACAGCTAAAGATGAAGACTTCTCAAAGCCTAAAACTCATTTTCAACAAGAGTGCCAAGAAGAAAACGCCAAGGAGTTGCCAACAATGGAGCATTCACATTAAAGGAGTTGCTTTTACTCTAAATTTGCCAAGCTTTATCACGGAATATCTCTCACCCTCCGCATGGACCCATTAATCCGACCATGGGACAATATTGTAATTTTAGACTTGGTGATTATAATCTCGCAAAATGGGTGTTGATATAAACATTTTATAAAACAATCCAGTTTCTTTATTTTCTTAAAATCGATCATTGTAAACGAACATTTCTTGCTGTTGAATTACTACGTAAACATTGAATAAAAGGAAGCAATCGTCTAATGAGGATGCGTCGGGGGCTTGCAAGGTGGTTTCTTAGGAGGAACTCTTTTGTAAGGTTCCTTTTTCTGAGGTCCCTTTTTTGAGTAGCTTCGCTTCACTTTGGCTTTTATTTGGATAACAATTCCATTTATCCTATTTTCCTCTTCTCCTCTATTCCCTAATTTACAGTTCCGAGAAATACAACAAAAAAAAACAAAACAGTTGAGAATTTTTCATGAAAAAAAAAAAAACTAGGGATCTAAGAAACATGTTCACATCCGATTGGTATGAATATGATCTAACAAACCTAAAACATTCTTTAAATACCAAGTTGATGTTATTTGTTCCCGATCTACCAAAAACTATCACGTTAAAAAAAAAGATAAATGTTTGACTCACCCATCTTTCGATGCTTCGCTTGTTTGGTCGATATTGCTTCTAACTGTCCTAAGAAGAGAGGAGATAAAAGAAGCAAAGCTACGATGAATACGACGCAGAGTGGTGGTGCCTTTTCTGTCATTGGATCTCTCTCGCTCCCTCTCTTGTGCAAAAAGCCTATAATTTCTTTAACATGTCCAATCTATTTTTTTTATAGTTAACAATATCCACCAATCCAACTTGTTCACACTATATTGTTGAAAACAATAATATTCTGACACCCTGTATTTTGGAAAAGTCATACCTGCCCTCACTATATCATAAAATTACGTACATGCATGCTATATGGCTCATATCAGAATATCAACGGTCATAAAGATTTTTAAAACATAATCCGGTCGGATCATTGATGACTAACCGCGGGAAAGACCTGGTACATTTTAGGTTTTGAAAATTTTAAAGTTCATATTCCTATACTCCACGATCATGTGATTTCCAAAATGCCTTTTATAGTAAAATCAAATATCAATTTATAATAAACCATACATTGTAATATGAGATATCTAATGGTGATCCTTTAGCTAGTCAAGTAACTCCGGAGTTTTATCATCCTCCTGATTGATACTAATAGTCTGATATTTTTTTTTATTATTTCAACTGAGAAATGAGAAGGATGATAATAAATTGATATAGAGCAAACTGTCAAAATTATTAGAGATTCTTGTTTTTATATTGGCTGAAAGGATATCTTCAACCTTACCCTATTTCTTCCTTTAAATGCCATTCTTCGATATCAAATTCATAAACCACATATGTTATTGGTTGTTTCCTGCTTAGGTTATTCAAGGTCTATAATGCAACACAAACTCTACTATTTGGTGGAAAGATTATCATCGAGCTTAGTTCTTTGCATGCTCTTCCTACCTTTTTTTTTTATTTCGTTTTCTGTTTCTCTATGGTAAATCAAAATGTTAATAACATGCTTAACTTTGATTCTAAGCAAGTTTCAAAACTGTATAGTAGGTATGATGTTCATAAGTAGGGATTAGAGCCAATGACAAAATCTGTTCAAGTGTAGCCTCAAGTAGACACAAACATAAATACTTCTAGTAACTGATTTATTATTTGATCAGATCATGTTTGTGCGTAATATGCAAAGCAAAAAAGAAAAAAAAAACAATATATAACAATAACGAAGACTCTTGATGGACAATCATCAGTGTGAATTAGCTGAAGCACTAGAAGGGAGGAAACATTGTACTACACTCGTCCTCACACGCTTCATCAAGCCTTAACGAAAATGGAGTTGGAGTCTCTGGTTCGATAACTCCAGGGGACGAAACACCACCTGTTGCCCGCATTATAGAGAGGTTCCTGATGATTAAAATAGACACATGAAAACAAGTGTTTTGTCTCCATATTCAACTGAACATGCAAGAATTAGTGCTTTTAACCTTTAGATATTGCAATAGATTCATGTTTGTAGTTCTAGAAAGGGAATTTTGGTGTGGTAGCATAACGACAAGGGTAAATTAGGTGCGCGAGAACTAATTTTTCCATAGGGTGGAAAGTACCCAATACCTCCTCACCTTCAGTGAACTATAACACACTTGATGTATGATAACGTTTATGTCTTAACATTTTTCAATTTATCTGACAATCTTCTCTTTCATCCCACTTTACCTTTAATTCAAATTTCTCTATCCATGTCTTTATAGGGGAACTTGGGTCGATGAAATTCATTTTGAATTTCAAATCAGTCACACCCCAGTATTACTGTTTTCTCCCTTTCTCCTTCAATATCTGAGCTCTCTCTCTCTCTTATCAGACGAACGGCGACTGAGGCTAGGTAGCGACGTCGTCTTTTTTTGGGATATCAACCATGGTCGGCGAGTCTTCTACGTCACCCAGTTCTAAATCGACGGTGGATTCTGAAAGGTATAACCTTTTTTCTTGTCTCCTCTAGCACTCCTTGAGGTGTTTCCGACATTTCGCTACAGTGAATGACATGAACTCTGTTATCACTCGCACCCACGCGATTTTATATCTTAAAGTGTTAGATCTGATTTTCCAGTTATTTTCTAGGGTGATTTGCATCAATATTATGTTTGCCAGTTTCATTGTCTTCTTCACCCACCAGATGTTTTATCTACAGATCTATAGTCGTGTATAGTAATCGACTACTAAATTTCGGTAGTCATTTACATTTAGAATTGGGGTAGTTAACTATTGGACAACATATACTTCACTTTCATGATAAGTGACTACTGTAACTTGATAGTTAACTTCTTTTTTCTGTTGTGTTTCGTAGGCATATCTCGATCCTCGGAAACCCCAATGTCAATCCTTTGGCAAATGATGTGTTTCCGCATATTCGTGATGCAGTAATTGGCATATTCCAAAGAGTTGGTACGGTATCTGCAGAAGACGCTTGCTCGTTTGCGTCATCTTGTAAGTTCCTGAACCAAACATTCAAGGAACCATCTGTGACAAGGGTTATTAACATATCAGCTTTCGTCAAGAGACCGAGTTTAATTCAGGACTACCCTACCTTTTTTGAGTCAGCGATCAACTCAGGTAATCCAATTGCACTCTATCTCCGTCGGATGAGCCGAATAACGGTTGCTAATGATATCGAAGGTTCGCTGAGGTTTTTGAACCAAGCCTCAAAAGGTGGAGTTGAAGCGGCGACTGTAATGCTGGCAATCTGTGTTACAGCTGTTGTGCACTATCCAAAAGGCATGGATATGTTAGACCGTGTGGTTGGTTGGAGAGTAAAAATCGAGCATATGATCTCCATTGGGGAGCAAGTGATGGATTTAATCACGAAAATGGTGGTCCCTGATAGTCATACATCTTTACCCCAACTAGCCCTTGATTTCCCCAGCTGCCGTTTGAAGCATCAGCTAATGTACTGCGAACACTGCTACCTCTACGTTTACTACCACCATGCAAAATTCTCATTAGACCCCTAATTAGTTGAGTATGTTGTTGCCTTATATTAAACCATAATATCTATTACATTCGACTACTATTAGTTGCCTACTTATTAGTTAGCTATTACCAATTTCCAATGTAGTTGACTATTATCAGATGGGTTTAGCTCTTAAATACTGTATTAATTAATGTAAGACTAAATATTGTTGTGCAATTTATTTTGGGACCCTCTAATCTTAGCAATATTTAATTTTCTGAACCATTAAGCAGGAGGGAAAAATGAAATTTTATTCTCGCTAACAACCTCTGATAACCGTTTTTTTTTTTAAATGCAGAAAAACCGCAATTATAACTTCCTTTACTGCCCTTCATAAGTTCCCGTCTGCCATTTCTTTTTTTCTTCTCTCACTCCACGAACTTATTTGCAACTGTCATTTCTCTCTTTATATCCCTTATTCTCTTTCATCTTCCCTGTTATCTTTCATCTTCCCCGACGCTTTTCTTTAACCTAAAAAGACACCCAGCGACCGACCGTTTTTTTTTCTTGCGTCCGAACCGCCTCCACCGCACCGATAATGACGACCCAGTCGTCGTCTCTGTTGCCCTGCCCCTTTCAATTTTAAAGGTAAGCTCTTTCACTGTTTATTGTACTTCCCCATCCTTTAGATCCCGTTTCGCCGCCGCCGCCGTACGCAGAGGCTTCCGTGAACAACCGATTTCATACTCGAATTTCGATGGCTATTAGTAAATAATTATCGTAATAGTCGTATATTTTCAATGAATAAATGTAGTTTATTTCGAATTTGATATCGTTTCTGCTCCAATTTCAGATCTAGGTTTTCGTTTTATCGTTTTCAACTATTTCTAACTTGGGACTCTAGGGATTTCGGGGTGACACCCGACTTTGGTTTGGTCCGATATTATAAAAATTAATATACAAGTAACCGACTATTCTATCACAAACCAGTTTATGTCCAATTCGATTGTATAATCGATCGTAACTGGCGTATACATGAATACGTTAGTTGATTACCAGTAGTCATTTAGGTAATATTTGGCTATTTTCTTCAACCGTTTTTTGTTGCCTGTTATGATAATTATTCATCTACAAATAAACGATTACTTGTAGTTATTAAGGTTTAATTGGCTACTATATTCAACCGGTAGTTACTGACTTATAGCCATTTATCTATTTTACAGAGTACAATCCATGACCCGGTTTCCGGACCGACTGTTTGCCTTAGGCAACGAACCGGCGAATAAAAAGGTGATACCTACTTCCTGCTACCTTATCTCGACACTATCAGTCATGCTTTGGAAGAAGACCATATGGAGAAGCTCTCTCTGTCCCAATTTGGAAAGATTATTGAAACAGGCAACAAGATAGCATCGTCAGTCAGATTTCTTCATTTCATTTTGTCGAGACAGCTGGTTACGAAAAAAAAAGGAGCTTTGGTGCCTCTTTGCTGGGCAGCCAATTCGCTTTTCTATCAGAGAGTTTGCTATTACGACGGGGTTAGATTGCTCTAATTTACCACCGCCGAAAAAGTTCAAGGAAGACCAGGTCAATAAATATACCGTTGAATTATTTGGTTCAGAGAGGAATGCAACCCCTGGATGGATAGCGAATACCCTTGCCGGCCGACCGTACAAAGATAAAGCTACCAGATTCAAGTTGGCATGCCTACTCCTCATAGACGGTATTGTCTGTCCTACCTCCAAAAATGCCAAGATTAGTGCCGAGCACATCATGTTGGTACAAGATGTTGACAAATTTCTCGAATATCCATGGGGTCGAAAATCCTTTGATCTGACTATTCACAGCATCAAAACTAGGACAGCTACGACATCGTACCTTTCTCAGCCAACCTGTGCTTTTCAGGGTTTTCTACATGCTTTACAGATGGTTGTTTTGGAGTGTGCTCCTTCTATTCTGCAGAAGGATGTAAAAGGTAAATCAACCAAGCATACCCTGAGGGATGACGATGATGAAGAAGATGAATTCCCAAGTGTACAGCCTGGTTCTATGAAACCGATTAATATCTCGATGCCTCATGTGAAGTCTCTCGACAATAATACCAAGGTATGTTATATATTTCGGAATACTGGTAACTGGTTACTAGTAGTCAATTCATTTATCATCCGGATTGCGACTACCCACGGCACGTAAAAGTTATGTTAACCAGTAGATATCTATTGATAATCAAAGACCTGGTAGTTACCTACGCGTGAAATTTAAACATTGTATGATTGTTAGTTGTCTACTTACAGGTAATTAAGACTACTTGAAATGTCGCATAGGACTGGAGTGTAATAGTAGTTCCTAGTGTTATATAATCAACTTCTAATAGTTAACTACTTGTAGTGTAGATTTGTTTTGTTCGCGATGGTTACTACCAGCGAATATATTAGTAATGAACTATTAAAAGGTGTATACTTGGTAGCTACTTACTCGTGGTAATTTATCATCACAGGTGGCTGTCACAGCAATCTTACCGGACGATGAACACCTGTTGGATGATACCGATTTCGCATTTGATGATGATGTCCCGGACAAAACCGTAGACAACTTACTCGCAGCAATCAGTGATGGCAAGAAATTTTCTAGGAAGACATGGAATGGTGGTGAAAGTGCAAGTCTTCTTCAAAACCAGCCAAATGCACCAGCGTCATCGTCTCGGAACACATCTTCTGATGTGGATTTAGATCCTGCTGCTTCTTCCATGCTTGAAAAGGTTGTACGTGAGACCGGGTTTGTATTATCAGAGATTAAAAGTCTTCGTACCGAGTTTGTTGACCTTCGTTCCGAAGTATCTTCCACTTTGAGTACCTTTAAGGATTATATTCGGAGCCAACAGGATCCTTCGCCTAAAGTTCGAGAACCTGCTAAGCGACCGCTTGGCCGTAGGGTCAAGTCTATTCCACTAAGAGCCAAGCACGTACGATTTCAACAGGTTTCTTCGTCCGAGGAGTCCAAGTCCTCAGATCCATCAAAAGAAGATGACGGCGATGACAGTACAAAGAACAAGGATTCAAGCAGTCCTTCTACCGAAAGTGACGACGTTGTGGATACCAATGTCGGTGATGTTGTTGAAATTTACGATGGTGATGCCCATGAAGATAGAAGGGAACCTGACGCTGAGGGATCTGGAGATGTTGGCGAAGTGGGTAGACAAATGCCAGTTGACGTTGATGATGTCCAAGACGCTGCTACACTCGCGAGCAACCAGATTGCGAGTGTGCTGTCTGATTTATCAGACCAAGTACAGGTATGTAGTCAACTACTAATAGCCATATACTTGCAACTAAACTACTCACTCACACTTGTCTTGTTAATGTAGGTTAATGTAGAGCCGTCAATAATCCAGCCTGTTCCATCACCACCACCATATGTGAGTATACAACTAGTTAAGCATACAATCTCGTGTCTTAGTACTCGATTATATGATACAATAATATCAGGTTGTACAGCCGAGAGACCAAACCGGTGCAAATAAAGATGTCCCACCTGTTGTTACCAACGAAGAAACCGATGCTGCTGAAGATGTCCCACCTGTTGTTACCAACGACGGAACCGATGCTGCTAAAGAGTGATATGTCTATATTTTACATCATTTAGAGTGCATTTTAGAGTCCTCATCATATGTTTTCCCATGTAAATTGAGTCTTTAGGCATGAAAATAGGATTTAGGGCTTGCATTAGGTCCCAAAGAGTTTTGCATGTTTTGAAGTCTTTATCAGGTGCTTTGGAAGTGATTTGGAGCTTAAGAAGAGGAGCAGAGAAGAAAACGGTGAAGAAAAGGGTCAAAAATGGTGAAACCGCTTGGAGGAATTTCTCGGCCAAATCGCGTACTGGCCGGACAGAAACCTCGGTCAAAAAGTTTACCGATCGCTCATTACCGGCCAAAATCCTTACCGATCGACCAAAATCAGCCTGGGTCGAGTATCGGGTGCAAAATACCACGGGTTGAGTTTTTGGCCGAGGCGAGAGAAATTTACGACCAAAAAGCTTACCGCAGTACACAGCCCTCGGTCATTTTCCTTACCGCGGGAAGCTTTTCTCGGCCAAAATCTGTCTTTGTCCGCACATTTCAAAGATCAGCAATCCGGGGAACCTTCCGGTCCGAATCAGTTGGCGGGGTCTTCATCAAAGTTGGAGACAATCAAGCAAATATCCCAGAACGATCGGAATCATCCAATTCGGACCAGTGGAGAGAAGGATACAGCTTCCGGAAGATGCACCAGCATTACGCGCATCCGAGAACCGAACGGCGGAGTCCAAAAATCACGGCGGACGGAGCCTTTCCGGACCGAATTAGCTTGTCCGGTCTTCATTAAAGTTTGAGATCTGTGGAAGAACTTCTCAGGACAGTTGGAATCGCTTAGTTCGGAGCAGTGGTTTGAAAGATAAAGTCTCCGGAGTTCACATCGGTCCAAAAAGCTTGTTTTCCGGTGATTTCAATACGATGCAAAGATGTGAAATCCAGGAAGCCTTCCACTTCCCAAGCTCCGAAGGTTTCTTCACCAAAGAGTTCGAGTTTATTGAGTCATCTTGACTATGGGACTGGTCTCAGAGCATTTGGAGCCGTGTGTTGAAAACTACTGTTTCCGGAGGGCAATATGGTCGAAACGAGCCCAAATGAGTTGCGATACACGCTAAGTATTTTCTCAAGCCTCGGCATCAGAACCTCGACATTGCTCAAGCCAAGGCTCATATCTTGGGAGAATTTTGAACTAGACCTCGGGCTGACGCCTCGGCACGTTGGAATCAATGCATGCATACGTAAGAAATGAAGCTGGAAACGACTAAGTATTGGACGTGCACCTCGGTGTAATGACCTCGGCGTGCATGCCGGACTCTGTTCTACCGAACCCCTCGACCACCAAGCACCTCGGCATTTTATGCCGAGGTCCCTTGTCACAAACCCAGAATCAAGAACGAGACGGCTCAAGAACACACACGTGAAGATGGATCAAAGACTAGGGTTCATGCATGTTCTTGGCGTGTTCTTCACGAGATCTTCATTTGGATCCAGACTCACGTGCACTCCTCGACATGAAGACCTCGGCTTCACTCTCCGACACACCGTGGCACTCACCCATCAACCCAAGAAAGCGGTTCAGTACCCAGTTTGTTCCGGGCTGACCCGCGACACTTTCCCTTTGCTATAAATACATTTTAGGACCAAAAACCTAATCATCTTATCTCTTATCCGTTTTAAGCTTTAAGAACTTGTCTCTTTTGTGAAACTGGGTTAATCTAATCCGATATCTCGTATTTACGTCTGAATCTTGTTCTTTCTTTATTCTCCTTTTATTATCAGCATTAAACTCCTAATCATGACCAGCTACACGTCTTGCAAAGGACTTAGTGAGCTCGTTATGATCAGTTAGTAGTCATTTAAGTGACTTTAGATAAGTAGATTAGGGTGCTTTCAAGGTGGATTAATGGGTTTGTAGAAAGTGTTTGTAGAAATGTCTGAACCACTCGGTTAAGGGTTTAAGAGTCTTTCATCGCGAGAGTGATAGTTTGTTCTCTTAAATGACATATTTGAACTGAATCTTATTGCTGATTGATTCGTGCTTCTCAAAAGATATTTTGGTATGAAGGAGGATCAGTTTAGATGTTTAATACTTTCATGAGAAGATTAACATGCCTTGAGTTCAAAGTTACTTGAAACCGCTTGATAAAATGATTCATTAGCCCATTAGTTTAGCTTGGAAGCACCCGAGTCGATTATCTTGTCTAAAGTCTCTGTCTTTATCATTCATTATAATCCTGAATCGTTTATTTGTCATTTGCATCTTAGCTTTGTTCAAATCTCATTATTTGCTTTACTTTTATGCTCATTCGCTTGATACTTAGCCTAGTAAAAACCTTTACTATTCTCTCTTGACTTAACGAACAAATGACATAGATAGTGTCTCGTTTACAAGCTTGGATTGACACCCCTTTGTACTACTCTGACAGGGGATTGATAACCCTTATTAAGGCTTAAAAACCTTAGTTATCAATTGGCGCCGTTGCCAACTTGTAGGAGCATTAGTCTCTTGTTTGTTCTTAAGTTCAAGCTTTTCTTTCCTTTGTTTTACTAACTTCTTTCCAAGGTCTTGTTTTGTTTTCAGGTGCATGAATACCAGGTCTCGGAGCACAGGATCGCTTTTCCCATACGACGATAACATCGACAGATTAGAAAGCCGAGCTCGCGAGAGAGAACGACACTTTGACAGACTTGGAATGGCAGAACAACAGCGAATGGAGCAACAGGCTCAGGCAGCCGAGCACCAGGCTCAGGCTAATCAAGCGCAGGCAGGAAGAAATGAACAACAAGCCTATGTTAACCAGCAACAGGCTCAAAGAAACGAACGGCTTGCTCAGCAAAACAAACACCAAGCGAATAGAAATGAGCAACAAGCCCATCATGTTCATCCGCCTCCGCCACAAGTTCAGAGACAACATCCTCCAATCTGTGTTGGAGAGAATGACCGAGCTAATGCGCACCAATACCGAGCTGGGATTCAAGCTCCACCAGTCCAAAACAACAACTTTGAAGTTAAAGCTTCCCTGCTCAATATGGTGCAAAACTCAAAGTTCCACGGACTGGCTGGAGAAGACCCTCTCGAGCATCTAGATCAATTTGATCGGGTTTGCGACTTAACCAAGATAAATGGCGTCTCCGAAGATAGCTTCAAGCTACGCTTGTTCCCTTTCAGCCTCGGTGATAAAGCACACCAGTGGGAAAAGAATATACCGAGGGGTTCTATACAAACCTGGGAGCAGTGTAAACTAGCGTTCTTATCAAAGTTCTTTTCCACATTGATATGTTCATAATTTGCATCATTTAGGTTGCATAAATCATTCCAAATTATGTTTTATTTCATGCATTTTACGTCCTTAGGGTTTGTTTTAGAACTTAGGAGATGCATTAGGTCCCAATGAGTATATTGCATGTTTTGAGTGTCTATCAGGTGAATATGGAGCTGAAAATATGAATCCAGGAGGTGGAATGGTGAGCAAAGCTTGAAAAAAGTGGAAAATTGGGTCCTGGGAGATTACCGGCCATTCTCGCTGGCCAGGAAGGTTTTACCGGCCATTTCCATGTACCGCGGGAAGCTTTACCGGCCAAAATCTCCGGGCATGAACGTGTCTCAGAAATCGCCTGTCCGGGGAGCCTTCCGGTCCGATTCAGACGGCGGGTGCTTCATAGAAGTTGGAGAGCATTGCATCACGGTCTCGTAGCAAGTGGAATCGTGGAATTCGGACGCGTGAGCAGAGAGATAAGCTTGTCGGAAGGAACCCCAGTCTCGCAGGTATTCCGGACCGAGCAGATCAGTCCTAAAGGATGCGAAGGACGGTGCACGTCCAGGCCGATTTAGTTTCCGGGTCCTTCATGAGAACCAGAGACATTTGAGTCTTCTTTCCAGAACGTCCAAGATCATTCAATTCGGATCTATGAGCAGAAAGATACGGTCTCCGGAATGGACACATGTCTAAACGCCTCTCTCTGGTCGTGTACATGCACTGTAAAGATGTGCCCTCCAGGAAGCCTTACACTTCCCAAGCACCGAAGCTTCCTTCACCAAAGTTGGAGATAAATGAGTCCTCTGTCTTCTGCAACCGAAATCATTCAATTCGGACAAGTCTCATAGGAGTTACACTCTCCGGAATGCGAAGTGGTCTAAGCTGCTCTGGATGCTGCGAGAGGGTCTTGCGACTTGGTTAGCCCGCAGGCCTGAAGATGAACGCCTGAATGCTGATGCTGCGAGTTGATATGTGCGGGTAAACTATCACTGGAAGAGGTCTGAAGCTCAAGAGCAAGAGAAATGCTAAGTCCACAATCGTGCGACTTAGGCATGCGAGTTAGCCGCGCCTGGAACTATGCCGCACGATCACTCGCAAATCACTCCGACTTGAGCCTGCGACCTAGTTGCGATAGAGACCAACCCGCACAGTTTGTACATTCCCCAGAAACCGCCTTAGCCCTGCGAGTTGGAGAGGAAGGAGACCAAGCCGCAGCAACACTCGCAAAACACTCCTACTTAGGCGTGCGGCTAAGACAAGGCGATTCAGGCTTCACAAGACAAGTCTTCATCTACTGCGACTTAGGTGTGCGACCTGGGACATACTGGACTGACCCGCAGTAATTCTCACTTTATCCATTAAAGCCGGGTCAGGACCCGGTTTGTTCCGGGCTGACCCGGTTCGTTTTTAAGGAAGTATAAATACTTTTTAGGTTTTTTTTGGGGGAGAACTAAGTTTTATTCCCTTTGAATCTATCATCTCCATCTCCATTTCTCATCATTAATCATGCTAATCTTCTCAACTTGGAAAGGTTTAAGAGAGATTAGTATGATTAGTGAGTAGTCACCTTAATGAGGTTCTAGATGTGTAGGTTAGGGTGCTAAAGTGTTAGATTAGGGGTGCTTAGGGCTAGATTCATTGATTCATCTCTCTAAACAGCTGTTCTATATGCTAGATCCTTGATAATCACTTGAGATCTAGATTCTGGGAATTTCATGCACCAAAAGTGTTTGATGAAATTCCTGAAAGAGTTGTGTTAGAGGTTTAAGTAATTTTTCATCATGGGAATGAT